TATGTGGAGCTTCGATTGTCTCATTCCTGGTGTGTCCTGCCATATTTCGAGGAATTGCTTTTGCAGCTGTTCCTCTATAGAGGACATTGCCAGACTATTCGGTATTCCCAAGATTGGTTCCGGTCCGACCGAGGTCCGTCCTGAACCGATCTTTGCCAGTCTGTCTGCCTCCTCGTTTCCGAGTATTCCCGAATGTCCCGGGACCCACATGAGGCTGACTTTCCTTGATTTTGCCAGGTTTTCCAAGGCTTTTCTGCACTGGGACACCAATTTGGATGTGATCCTATTGGATTGCAAAGCCAGTATTGCAGCTTTGCTGTCCGAGCATACAGTGATTGGTCTAAGACCTCTCATAATTAGGTTTTCTTGGACGCAGGTGAGTATTGCGCTCGAGATTGCGCTGGTGTATTTTGTACACCAGCGCCAAATTTCTTGCTACCATCGAACGTAGAATTTTTTTTGTGGCTCTAGACTCCCACCTAACCTATGTCTAACATGTCTGGGATGTGATAGATCAGTTTTGTGTGTGTGTTTGTACGTAAATTTTGACGCGTTGTCACGTTGGTGCCCGTTGGTGCCCGTTGGTGCCTAGAATACAATACACTGCGTGGGAAATAGGGTAAATTATCTAAGTATTCAATATTGTATACAAACACGTTAGTTGTGTATTATGTGGACGCACTAAAAACAGAGTGTCTTTTTTTAATTGCATTTCCTCGTTGGACCCAGCACTGGATCCAACGCCCCATAAGTCGAAACTTGTGCGGGGTTAATAAAGCATGCGTTTTTGTTTTACCTAAAAACAAGTCAAATTCATGGTGGTGTACAAAATACACCGCGCGGAAAAAAGTTCGAATTAATTAGCGCGAGTAATCAAGGGTTGAAGAACCGTCGAAAAATGAATCTGAAGAACTACTCGGGATGAGTAGGAATCAAGTCAGAACAATAACGGGACTTCTCACTGGTCACAGTCCAACGAGAGGACACCTGCAGGTAATGCGGTAAAGGGACTGAAACGGCCAAACACTTGGCATTGGATCGCAAAAGACAAGAAATATTCGGGCAGCCTATAGGCTGACTCCCGAAGAATACAACAGCCAACTGGTGAAGAACCTGTACAGACTGGTGCAGGCAATAAGAGCTACGGAATGGGTGCTGTAGAATAAACTGGAATGCACTAAAAGCCCAGGAGGCTGAGGTGTAGCCGGTGACAGGACTAGCATCCAATGACCAAAAATCGTCAAGGTAACGATATAGTATTCTAACGATAAGTTACTGAATATACCCCTCAGTATCAGATTTTTTTCGCGTGTCCACCCGATATACCTGACAGTTGACGCGACAGAATGAATATTCGGTGATTACGGTGCTCGAGAGGTGTCGCTCGGCCCGCGGGCTGCAATTCAGCGAACATGATTTATATCGAGAGATTTGTTTTCTTCGCCTCTCGAGAGATTCTCTCTTCGGGCGAAACATTATCATCTTCTCGATGATAATTAATAATAGTTACCGGCGAGTTTTCGATTGGTCGGTTCGAGCATTTCGAGTTTCACTATAGGAGGGGAGAGATCGTTTCGTTTACACAATACAGAGTGTTCGGAAATAATGAGCAGAAATTTGAAAGGTGTTTAAGCGAGTGTTTAAGCGTCTGTATCGATTTTTTTTTGAATACAGTTCAGAGCCCAATGACAAGAATACCAAAATGGTGAATTAGCACTCATATACAGATACAAAAAATACGGAAAAATATAATAATATCTCCGAGATAATATCTCTTAGTCATCTCCGAGGTCATCTCGACAGAAAAAATGATGATTTAAATCTTACATGTTCGAGATGATGTTCTCGACTGTTTCTCTCACCATGGAATGATGAAAAAAATTCCATCATTTTTCTTTACCCATTCATTTCACATATACTTTTTATCTTTTATGCACTTTATTTCGTTGAAAAAAGTGCTACTTCAAATCCCTATAGGGATTTAAAGTGAATTTCTTTGCAATAACTAAAAGGTAAATTTAGGAATGTATTTCCAAAATGTCTGTGGCAATTGTATCTTCGACGATTTCGGTGATTAGAGGGTCGAAATTATTTTTTAGCATATTCAAATACAGTTCCCCTATTGAATTTTGTTCAATCAATAGATATTAATTTTTTTTTGTATTTAGACAACTAAATTCTGCCATTTTGAATAATTATTGTCGAATCAAGAGTGAAAATGCCTATATTATAGTGGAAATGTCGAATTCTTAATATTCCTCGTGATCGAGCTCGTGACTGTGTATCTCAATAACAGACGAAACGTAAGAGCCTCAGTAAAAGAGTATAGAAGATTTTTTCAAGCGCTTTATTCAAATCCAAGTCTGAAAACATGCATTTTTACCGATTTTTAGTAAATTGAACAACAATGTTCGAATAGCTATCGAAGAGAAACAAAAATCTATAAGCAGCTGAACAGATATTATGTGCGTATGCTCGGTGGTGCCTCGGGTGATGCCTACCTATAGGTTCATGCGAGGGTTCATGCCTCGGTTCATGCTCTAAAGTCGTAGAGACTAGACTCTAGATAGAGACTGAGACCTACCTCAGACCAGCTAAGTAATACCGATTTTTCCTGGAGTGAAACTCGGAGTGAAATAATTATGCACTCAGTGTGTATCTATCCTCATAAAAATCATTCAAAGCGAGATAGTGCGACGAGTATAAAAAAGTATATAAGATTCAACCGTGGATTCAACACATTTTTTTGACTAACCAATTTGGGACCTAGCGATTTCTGGAAAATATCAACAATTTCAAAAGAGGGTACAGTGAACTGTGACCTCTAGGACATGGAACATATTATATCCTAACCTCACTACACAAAAATCCATCAAGAATTAACCGAGACAATAACCCGCAAAGACATATCAATCAAAATAGGCTGAAATCGGAAGTTTGCAGCATGGATATCAATATACATAAATAATCACCAATAATAATTAATCTCATCATTATAATACCTAATTGGGATTTGAATGTCTAGAAAACTATCAAATATCGATAACCAAACACGAATTAATTAAAAATTAGTTTACACAAATAACAACAAAGTGCCTTCGTAAGAATTTTAATAAGTTAGATTCACACATGATTGAACGCATCAGAAATTGCATCAATATAAAATGACGTAGAAATAATAATATACTGATTAATTCAAATTGTTAATACCTACCTACCTACCTCATCTGACGAAGAGTGTCATAAGGATGAGAGTAGAGCTATTTGAAATATGATATCAACCTATCACGAATATTATGATAAATTCAAATATCTATACCTATGTTAAACCGTGTTAAACCCTAAGTTACAAGTGAAGGTATCTCGATCTATTATGAAAAATATTCTCGAAATTGCATTCTTCAATTTGACGGTGATTTCCGAACAACTCAAACGAGAACTCAAACTACTACTTTCTTGTTATTTTTTCAGTTTTCGATAGTTCAATGAAATAAGCCCGGTTCTTGCATAAATGAATATCCTATATCTTATATGCCAATTCGGCGTTTAAGAATGATGATGACGTTAATATTCCTTCATGAACATTGAAACTTAGATGAAAACATAGATTGAAACCGATTGAAACTCGGTTGAAACAGATGCCCACTTTCATCTAGGTCTGGGTGAATTATACAGAGGTTTCTCCTCGGAGTTCTCCTATACGATGTCGAAAGATTTCTCATAACATGTAGCTACTCCTACTACTTTTCAAATGCCATAAGAGATGTCATCTCTCCTGTCATCTGATCTCTTAACATAATTTGCAGCTCATCATATAATAAGCCCCGTAATTAGTCTGACTATTTCACGAGCTATTTCACTCATCACATAATCTGACCACAAGTCTGAGGACAACGTGTGCTCATCGCGAAAATATTAGCTGTTTTTCAATTCTGATTGGTCTATCAGCGTTGATGTTTGCAAGGATGTAAAGATAGATAGCGAAGCCTCGAGCGAAGCAAAGTCTGGATGTAACCATGGATAGCGAAGCAAAGTCTGATGTCAGTTTGGCATAAAATAATTATGGTTGTACTTGTGGACTCGTGGTGTTCCTCAGCAACACAATTTAGTCAACAATGAAGCGACAGAATTATTACTCATAATATCACGAGAGCTTCAAAATATTCGTGTTCGAGAAAAAATTCCCAGATATCAATTGAAGCTAAAGTCTCGGCTAAAGTGGTATTCGGTAGAAGAAAGAAGACGTAGTTAAGGAATTTCAACAACACTTAGATCATTTAGTTGAAAATGATGGTATTTGTGATGAAACGTAAGAACTAACGTATAGTAACAACATGTGTTTTTTTAAATTTTGAATTTGCAAGTATACCTACATAATAAATATTATATGGTAAACTGTTGCTGAATGATTTTTATTTATCGACTCATAGAATGAACTCGAAATAATCTGCAGTTGAATGTAAATGTCATTTAACCCTCGATTTAACCTATAAACGTCCACAATGGAATAATTTCCAGTGTAATTTCATGCTCCGTCCCCCAAGGAGGAAAAAATTTCCAAGAATTTTGTTCAGTTGCTATGGAAACGATACGAAATACATGTTTTAAATGGATCGAAAATGTTTGGTGTGAAATTTTCTCGAATATTCAGAACATCGTGATATTACTTATGATAATTAGACGCATAACTGATGATTAGAGAAGTAATGATTGATGTATCAAGATCTTCTACCCTCCAGATAGCCATTTTTATTAGGAACTAAACTTAATTATGGTGTAAAAATGTAGGTCAGTGTGCCACCCCTTGAATTGAGTTTTCCATGAAAACTTGAAATATTGGTGAACTCGCCAAATTATATCCGCCAAAAGACAAAACACTCATTTCTTAGAAGATTCCGTGTTTTTTCATGCGTTCATAATGATATCGAGGTGTTCTCGTTCTCGTACAAGCTCATCATCGAGAAATGATAAAACTAGGAACAAAAATCAACGACCCACACCTACGTACTTCCGGCTTTTCCCCACGTAGACTTGGCAACGTCGCATCGCAGAGCGGCCGTGCCCTTGCGCGCGCACCTCCACACGTGCATTCGCCAGAACGAATGACCACAAGTAAAAGAGGTTATGATATTTGTATCCCAACATACCTTCTTCATGATCCCGGTTTTCCTCTTGGAAAACGTCGTATATCTCCTGAGCTTGTTCTCGATATACTCCATTTTGATCTTGACGCGACCTTTGGTCTTTTTGCCGTTGCTTGGCGGAGACTTTTTCGACTGCATCGAGTAGGTGTCTTCGCTGATGTCATTCACGCAATTGTCCAGACCCATGCCCTGGCTGGACATGCCTCTGTCGTCGTACAGGTCCGATTTGATGCCCCGATTGCAGGCGCTGGACACCATCGTGTGTCTCGGAGACAATTGCTGGAGGCTGGTCGACGGCCTACCCAGATTCGGATTGCCGTAGATTTCTGGCGGCGTTTCGCCGCTCAGCAAATTCATGCTGTAACCGAGGTTGAAACGGGAGTCCCTCCCGCCCGGTGGTTCCATTTCGCACCACAGTTTGACAAGAAAAAACAATCCGACTTACGAACTCGCGAAATGTACGGATACGGAGCACACACACTGTGTTGACGTCCGCGATCACAGCTGACTTCACAATACGATCTGTCGAGCCGTGGGGTGCAGCGTACCGCCCAACGCTTTCTCGCGCGGTTGCCAGCTCCGCCTTATTTTCTCCGTTCTGCGGCTGTTCGAGAAGTTGAACCAAATCACTAGCAATATTGCCCTGAAATGAAAAATGAATGGTGACAAATCGAACATCATTCGCTACTGATCAAATTTAAGGATATGTAACTCAAGTCTGACGTTGTGGGACGTGTTGCTGTTTATGATGAGTATACCTACCATGATAATGCTACTTATTGCATGATGATTTATTTCTATATTAGTTCGGATATCTACTGAAAATCAGAGAGTTAGAAATGTTCATCAATAATCTCATCCGAGATCTCATCATATAGATTGAACCATGTGACAGGAAGTTTCTTCAAAATCAAACTATTTATTCAGTATATCATAGACAATTTGTCAATTTGTGAAACCCTACAGGTTGATATTGACTGAATGATAGTTGGGATGGTCATTTATTTTTTTCATCGTTCGGAGAACACATAATGGAATCCCTATAATATTCGAAGAACAACGTGCGTACCTATTACAATTATTATTTATTCTAATGCAACGAGTTATGCAAAGTCTCAAAATTTTGTAAATTACACTCAGAATAGGAAGTTAAACTCGAATGAGCTAATTGTATCATAAATCTCAATATTATTTTGATAATAATATGGATATCAAGAATAATGAATTAATGACTCAGATCGAAGGTACCTATTTTGGAAGAATATTTCAAAAGACCATGATGTCTTACGAACGGAAAATTGTGCATCAGGGAATACATATTATGGTAATGAAGTTCTCAAGCGAATCTCTATAACCATATCGGACGGTGAGAACTTTCATTGATATACTTAAAACCCTTTATGGGAAGTTTATATGAATTGATTGACTCAGAAAAGTTGCCCCGAAATAACAGCGCAATGAGCACCTGCGTAGGAGGGAGAGAAGCGTCATGGCTTTTCTCGCTCCCATCAAAAAAACGATATCTCACGAGTTATGTCCTATGTAGGGTTCAGAAGTGAAAGCACGGTATTTGTAGGCATAATAATTTATGTTGGTTATTCTCATTAGTATGGATTCGTTTAGAAAATATGAGTATCAAGTGTATTAGATTTGTGTATCAGGTGGTAGCCGTATATATGTAAATAATATCTAAAGCATCTAAACGTACTCAGATCACAACCATAATTATTATCATAGATTTATTATCTTTTTCGCAGGATCGCTCCACCCGGCTCCTCCATCAACATTTTGAAAAACAGCTTTCGCGTCGAATACCAGTGGGAATAGAAAATTGATAGTTTGTATTCCATCTTATTGATGCACTATATGTAACAAAAATGTTCGGAAATAATGCAATTTTTTATTCGCTTCTTCCATGTCGATAATTATTATCAGTTAATTATAGCAATTTTCTAGTTCAGTTGTGCTCGTGCATGTTTTCCACCCTCATGTAAGATTTTTAGCGAAAAATGTCTTATTTTAATGTGAGTCCAGGTTGGAGCTCCTGAGCCACCAGCAGAACGTTTATTCTGTAGTCCTCTGTAGCGTCTCGATTGATATGTCAATTCATGTTCACGGTGCGAGTTTATAGCGCGAAAATCAACTTTAGTTTTATCATAAGCTTCTACCTCGACTCACAACATTACTAACTCTATAGTTCTTCGCACATTCTGTGAAAAGTGAAACTTGAATTCAGTTCACTTTGAATTACGAATAATATGAGCTGTGTGAGTCCAGCTTGGACTGTCAGAAGCACAGGCCAAATAGGGTTTCTAGACCATATGGCCGAGCTTAAAACGCCCACCTGTATTTTAAATGGTTACGAGAAGTCATTGTGGAGTTACAAAATATTTTATGACGGACTAACATGAGTTTAGGTCGGCTACAAGTGGCCCATATACCATTTTTCTGTGTGATTCTGCGTTGGCCTCATGTCAAAAACTGCTTTCGTTGAAGTTCATATTTTGGCGAAAGCGTAAATTTTCAAATTTTGGAGAAAGGGTCTTTAAGGAAGAGTGCTTTCGCCAAAATTTCAAGAAGTAACTTGCTTAGGCAACACGATTGATATTTTGATTCCCCGGAAGCCAAATCTTATTTTTGGGTTGGTATACCAATCGGCCGTAAAACAAAGGGTTCACGCGATTTATAAATCGAGAATTACATAAGAAAGTTGCAACAATGAGTAGGATGCATTGTTAATTACACCATAGATTACGATAGATTATCATTAATTGTAACTTTTTATGTTTAGATTCAAGACAATTCAATAAATACAAGTAGGTATGTTTTACAATTCAACCGAGAATCTTTGAAAGCTGATAGCTCAATTAGCTTCATAATATAGAACCTTAATTGAATTAGGTAAGTAATTATTATTTTTAAATTTAGTTGAATCTATGAACCCAGCCTTACCTATGCTATGGACTCATTTTATATCATTACACCGTTCTTATTTATATCCCATCATATCTATTTTATATCCTCATCATGTCTGTTTTTATGAGCCCATCATGCCAAAAAGGAATCGACCTGACATCGCCGCACTTCCGCGGCCAATGCTTGCATTAGTAATACGCGCATGTCTCTATTCCGCACGTTCCTACCTTCTTTCGTTTCACTCTGAATCATGCGTTTCTATGGGTGGCACAAGATAACAGCCGTGCTGGCGGCTAAGTAACTCGAGCCAAGTCGTTTTGGAATAAGCCAAATTCTTCCAAATACACTCGAAATGGCTGCGCAACTGCCCACGGACAATCGCGGCACACACATCGAGATATCTCGCTCCTTCCGAATTATTTGCAGGCGGCTGGTGGTAAAACAGATGAACATCGGAGACAATAAAAGGTAAAAGTGGGATGTAAACAAGCGGTGTTAGGACTGCCCAATGCCATATTTAGAACCGTTCGGCTCCATATAAGGCCAGGGTGTCCTTAGATGGAGAAACGAAATCCCTCCTTCTATGCGATCGGCACACGCTGTCAAAAGGACGAATATCGGTGCGTAGTATACGAGAATACGAGTAATTCCGATTTATCGTTACTGTTTTAGAAATCTGAGTAGTAGGGACGGGTTTTTTCCTGCCAGCGACGGCATCTGGTCCGCGAATAATTGGGTATATGGCAAAGCAGGAAAAAGTCGAAACTTTTTGTCGGTTCAGTGGGTGGGTTCCCATAGTTTGCCGAATGATCAGCTTTATCACCTTCCAATGGTCATTTGAGATACTTATCACAAGAGATGCTCCAATCAGAAATCGAACGGAGAAAAACTATAGGTACATGTATCATCAAATACCTACCTATATAGCTTCATTATTCTTCATTATCATTTTATCATTTCGTTGAAGCAGCAGGGTATCCACCTACTAGAGGGGTGTTTCTTTACTACTCGAAGAAATATTTCGACTATAGAATCCTGAAGTAAGATATACTGATGAGTCGAGTACCAATTGGCTCCAAATATATGTTTAAATTACAATGTTTCCTGTACTGACACAACGTTTATTCTTTATTCAAATTGACATCAAAAACTCAAAGTCCTGCCAAAAATACATTATACAGGGTACAAAATATGAGGATAATAACAGTTACTGCTTCATCTTCAGAATAGCCCTAACACCTAAGCTCAACATTATAACGATACAATAAGTCTCCTGTCTGAGTTATAAGTTACAGGGTGTTATATATTCAAAAATTCTGAAATGTAAAGTAAAAATTCGATATTTTTTCAATATATCTATATTTATTCTCTTCAAACATCTCTCTGATCAAAGCTATTGAATTTTCATTTTAGGCTCCCTGATAGAAAATTTGTTAAATGCAGTGACATTTTAGGGCAAATCGTCTGATTCGTCCTAATAAAAATATTATACTATTATACTATAATACTCATATTTTTATTTTATAGAAATCGATGATTTATCGATTGAAATAGGTTTGGATTGATTTCATCTCTCAGTGGTTCTACCCAAATTTTAATTATGTTCTCTATTGTTCCCTTTCGATGAAGCTGTTTCATATTGTTTCACATGCTTATGTAGGTATATATTTAGGAAAATTATCCCATTATGAAGGAGTCATCATAGTCATTTAGTAGAAATGGGGTACTTATCTATGAATTTCTGAATATATGGAGATTTTATGAGATCCTGCCTACTTATTCATAACCAAACCATATCTTGATAGCGAATCACGATTCTGTATAGATAACACTAAAACAGTTGATCGCCTACACTTCAGCCTACAAAATGACAAAACTGAAACAGTATACATTTCGATTCAAAGATCTTTGACCTAGTATAAGAACTACCTATATCTATGTCTTATTAATTATATCTAAACTGGTTGTCAGTGGAATCAAACAGTTATATGAATCGTTTTTTGTTTGTCTCTTTCCGAAAATACCAAATTAGAGTTAGTGTATACAGTTTGACCTAGATAAGGTTGCACAGCATGGAAATCTCATACGAATTGAGTAAGATGGAATAAAATTGCGAATTCTGAGTCATCAGCTTTCGAGAATTCTCAAAAGTATTTCTAGTTTTTCATATCGAAAAAAGTGTGTTTTTGAAATTAAAGTTTTTTTCACCGTTATTATTGGAGATACAGAAAATTGAGGATAATATTCCATTTCAACTTTCTGCTGAGATTTCACATGGTCATGAATATTGGGCTTCGCGAGACCAAGACTTAATGAATCTTGGACTCTTGGTCTCGAAAGAAAAATAATGAACTTAAATCTACTCGATATTTGAAAAAATCTGATGGAAAATGTAATGGCATTTTATTTCAGTTGTTCATTTGTCATATGGTAGGTTTTTAATTTTTGTTCACTCAAAATCAGATATACATTTTTCAAATTCAGTATGG